GAAGGAAGCACTACGGAACGCAATGCGGGCCATGTTTGACGAGCTGCTGTTATCATTCTTTGGAAAGAGATCGCACAGTCAGTAAGCATCTTTACTCTGCATGTTTCTAAGCACAGAAATGATCGATATGAGAATTGAAGCTTTCCTCTTATCTAGTGATTATCGGCCGAAGTCGACAGCACGCGCGTATTCTTATATGCCAGCAAAGATAAACTGTAAATGTCCAAAATGTTATACGTTTTGGCTAAATCGAGGAAGTGAAATCATTATTAAAACAGAATTTTCAATAACGCATACGAGTGAGGAATTCTTGTTCTTTTGTACAAAATAAACAAAGTTAGAAAAATGTATCCAAAATTTTAGTGTTGTCAGATGCAGGGATAGTCAAAAATTCTGTTAATATATTCTTTGTAAATCTGAAATTTCTCCATTTTGTTATTTATTTCAAATATTTCTTGTATCTATTTGTTACTGTGCTAAAAGATATCATGTCTGATTTCCACTTTTAAATTATGAAAACTTACATATAATTGCCGACTTTCACAAGTTATTTACCCAAAAATCAAAATATAATTCCTGGACAGGTTGACAAGGGAYCATTCACAATCCATCCACATGTCCCAAGGTTTTAATATATATTTATTTAAAGTATACAAAACAAATTCAGTCTTGAAAGTGAAATCCATTTTATTTTATTCACTCTTTAGGTACTCTCGACCTTGAATTGGCCTCTTAGCAGAATGCAGGACCTGAAACAAATCACAAGCACTCAGAAGATTATTACATTGCTTACAGATGTCAATACTATTACAAATGTATTTTTCGTTTTAAAATATGAATTTATTTTGAATGTAGTTACCTCATTAGTCTCACTAAATAGGAGATTGCCCTCAAGTGGTCTGATGACTCTTATGTTTTCTATTTTTTATTTCATATTCTTACCCAAACTGATATGTTTCCTGTTCACAACCAATAAATGTTTTGCATTAGTTTCACAATTAGTAATGTTCAACACTCGACACTACATTCTAAACTCTTGTACTTTTCAGTCTTTGCTTTCATAAAAATTATTTTGCAAGAAATATTACTTTCTGGTACATTCAAACTTCATGGGGAGTTGAAAAGAATCATCATCTACTAGGAACAGCTGCAGTGTGTATAGTTTTTAAAAAATGCCAAAAAAAAGAGTACAGTGCCCCCTACAAACCTTAACTTACATGTTTGCATGGCCCTCAACGTCTGGTAAATGAGCACAAACAATCT